GACGCTTGCGGACGCTTGCAAACGCTTGCGAACGCTTTGCGAACGCTTTAACGTCGATCCCTGGTCAATGATTGGACCCCTGGACCCCAACCTTTGAAATGAGAACCCTTCTGCTACGCATTCGGGAACAAGAGTGTACGAATTCAGCGAGCAGCAAAAAGAAGTCCTAGAACAAGTCTAACCAGGAAGGCGAGGTGCAAATAGCTACGCATGCGCGCCTGCCACAGCCTTGAGGCTGCAATCTTGAAGTGCATCTCCAGGGCGCGTCTCCGTTGCCATTCACCTGAAACCCTAAGCCCGAGCCCCGCCGTCCCATGAGTCTAGGAAATTCTCAAGCCTTCAGCCTGTGTGACTAACCCTCAAGCCGCCTAGCAGTTTACAGGCTTCAGAAAGTTTGGTTTCGGGTTGAAAGCTTTCTTGCCACGAAAGAAGCGTGCCTGTCAGATCGCCGAGTCTTTGCGCAAGACATCAGACTCAAACCTTTCCATGCAGTACGAGTAGGATGCTAGGTTGAGACCCTTCAGTGTTTACAAGCCGCATCGACGCAGCCGCTTGAAGTAGGCTCATCATCAGATTTCCCATGCTGCATGAGAACACAACTTGAAAGCACTCTTTAGGATGCAGGCACGGACTCGACGCTGAAGAATCCTCGCGGCGTTCTGGCGCGCGATTATCTCTCCCCGGTGTCGGACAAGAAAGCCCCGCACAAATCGGGCGATGGTAACCTGTCAGGAACGAAGACAATTTTCCGGATTTTGGGCTTAGCATTCCAAGCTCGAAGACATGGGGCAATCCGATTCTCGTCAATAACGAATCTGACGCAATGCGCGAACTATCCACTGCCCTTGGCTTCAACTCAACCAAGTATGATACTAGAAACGTGTGGCCTCCAAAGGGTCGTACGATCACATAGACCCCGCACCCGAACCTGGGCCGCGCTTTGGCGCCAGGCTTCGCCGAAGCGACGTTCGGCTCGCAGGTTCAGAGCCTTGCCCACCACTGTCAGCCTCACGGCCGAGGCATTGCGGTCTGGGCTTCACGAAGCCAAGGTTCACCTACAAATTTTTCCGTTCTGGGCACCGAGAGGAGGGGCTGGAGTTGAGTTGTCGGGTCCAGGGCGAAGGCGGATAAAAACACTCATATTCACAAGCGATGCGAGACGTGCGCCTCAGCCCAAGGTTGTGACATCCATGTGACCAGCCAACTCATTCAACCCAGTCCATGTACGTTGCGGGCTTTCCATCCCAAAATTACGTCAGTCTTTGAGTTTGGGCTTTGAAGTTCAAGCTTCGCAGGCAGCCGAGGAAGCTGATGGCAACTGGCCAGCAGCGACTCTGATAGGACAGACGCTCGACCACACTGACCAGTCATAAAACCCGCAAAGGCAAACTTTCGCAACTCACTTCCGGCCCGCAAGAGCTCGAAAAACCCACTGGTCATTGCGAACATCAAACTGGGGTACCTGTCTCGCCTGTCTCCTGAGGTAAAAACACAAGCTCGAATGGACGGATGAAGAAAACTGTCTGAAGAGGTTTCGACGTTTCCTGCAATCCAATACCGGAAAGATTCGAATCTTGCACTGCTTCAGATGAATAACAATGCAAACTCAATCTGCAGTACAGAAGCCAAGCTCTGAATAACATCGAGATTTCCGCAGGTTTCTTTCCTCAGAGCATCCTCAAGATCTCAAGCAGCTCGGTGTGTTCACGCATGTTAGGCGGTCAAACCCGCATACCGAAAACCATGAGCATTGTGAAACTTCTACATTGTTGTGGTGATGGTAGTTGGCTCAACATTCCCATAACCCCACCCGCAACACTCAGTTGTTTGCAATCTGTGCTGTCTCAAGACCCGACAAGCACCTGACCGGGCAACTCATCTACTCCGGATATTAGATCGACTTCATCGAACCGGTGATAGCTGAAAGCAAGCAAGGGACTTACTATTGTCTTACTTCTTCAACGGCGGCCGCGTCGCCCCAATGCACATCGCCCCAGGGAGTCCGCCAAAAAATCTCGACCCCTGGCGTCGCCATCCGGCCTTTCCAAGGTCTGGCTAGAGTCAGTTTTCCCCACAAAGCTGATATTACCTAAGATTCTGGCACACGACATACACGACTCACGTGAAGGAATGCCACAGCTCAAACCGGAAGGCTGTAAGGAAGCCCCAACGCTGAACGCGAAAGTTCGCGTTGGGAAGTTATGATGCGAGCGTTCATTGCAACCGTTGGTTGCATGTGCTTGTTTAAGGTGTTTCGACAATCGCTGATCCGTGGTTGCAATAGCATAGGGACATCTTATGTCTAAGGTCGAGCAGCAGGTCGAGGGGACGCTCATCTACAGGCTGGCCGGTGCCCGGCTCCGGTGTCTCGTCCGCGATGCAGACCCTGAGAAACCGCTGGGACTTGTGCTTTGGGATAAGCAGTTGATGCTTCGTACATGTGCACTGTCGGTTTTGCATCGGGCCTTATGTAGGGCTTCGAACAGCCGCACGGCTGTTGTTAACGACTGGAGAACGAGGGGCCACCAACCAAAGTGTTGGACCGTTCGGGCCGAGGCTTTCCCATCGCGATGATAAGGCTTTGGCGTTGGCTTTACGGAGCACAGAACTTCGGATACTTGAAGTTTCCGTCTTCGGGCCCAGCTTCTTGGGCCCAGCGGCCTCGGGGTGCTTGACTTGACTTAGCGTAGCGCTGAGCTGAAAAGAACCCCACGTTTCCCAAGTGTTCCAGCCCCGCACATACCGTTTGGAGCCGAGTGCAAGGGATCAGCTTCAGCAGAAGCCTACACGCTTCAGAGCGAGGGGCCAGTCAGGAGCAAGTCCATCTGGCTCCAGATGGCCTAAGCGGCCGGCGCACACAAGTTACTTGCCAGGTTAAAGGCTCAAGACACTTGGCCTTATCATGGGCTTTGAACGACGCTTGCGATTCTTGGCTGTTTGCCGTGTGTTGGAGCGAGAGCCGGTTCTTCAGGAGGCATGCAGAAATGCCCATAGGAACGAGCAAGCAGGCTACGACTACGGGCAGCTTAGTACGGGGTCCTTAACCGACCTATCTTCCAACTATTGCTAAGTCACATTAGCCACTATGAAAAAGCTTGCCGTGCATGCTCCATCAGGCGGGTGGTTCCCAAACTTGCATCCCCAAGGCCGCCGACAACTGTGAATCTACTTGCCCCTGTCTGTGGAGCGCACATGCAGCCTTCATCTCTACAGACCAGATTCCTTTTTGCATCCAGCCTGCAAGAGCCTCCGCTGGGAACCTAACGAGGGCTTAGAGCAAAAGTCCTAAACCAAGATCTGCAGGTGCTTTTTCTGAGTGCTTGCAGCAGGCCATTCAAGACCAGTTCCAACAGCCTCGTGGCCATGCCTCAATCGCGGCTGGTCGCATTTGCTTCACAAGTTACTTGCTTGATAACTAGATTGTGGCGATTCGTTACAGTGGTTCAATAGCTCATTGAGAGGCGACGTGCTTCACTGGTGTCGCCCTTCAATTTGGAATTCGTGTCAGAGGCGTATGGGGCAAAGAATGCTTTGGGCCTGAATTTCGAGAGGGCTGCTAAGGCTAAGGATGCTCAGGTTGGTCGCAATTTATTCTTACAGCAAAAACTTGCAAACACAGGCTGTGCGAGCAACTTTGAAGACTGGAGATTCAACAGGTGAAGCAGTTGCGGCCCTACTCGGGTTAAGGCTGCTTCCCCTTGAGTGGTGTAACGAACGTATTCTACCAGCTTCGTCAGTCCGTCCGTCTACGCAAATCCACAACTTGCAACGCTGCCCGGGCGGCGGTCCAAAAGCTCCGAGATCCAAGGGGTCCGGGATTCGCATGCCGGGCTCAAGTTTACCTCGAGGAGCCTCGCATGGATGCCCAGAACCCCAAGCCAAGCCAACAGAACTACACAGTAGTGTGTGTTGAAGTCTTACTGCGATTTTAGAAGTCTTGATGTTTAGTTTTACGGGAATCCGAACTGCTTGCTGTGGGGTGTTGTTGTCGTTATTCGGGTGGTTGCCCGCCCCATGAACTGCTTCGTAGCTTAGGCTTATGCAGAGGAGGACGGAACCTGGGATAACAGTTGTCCTCCACAAGAGAACGATAACGAAAGTTGCTTGCAGTCCGCAGCAAGTATTTGGAGGGGGGTTGTCGTGTTTTCAGTTCTGGGCGTGGGCTGTCATAGAGGCTGTGCGCTCCCAGTGGGTTTCTCTGAACCCAACATGTAAGGAATCACGAGACTAGACTCTCAAAGTAGTGTCACACTGTAAACCAAAACACCAACGCAAAGTTGACCTTGAACAACAAACTTCAAGCCCCAAGACCTACACAGGCCCTGTGCCAACCCCGGGAAGCAAACCTGTCCACACTACAAAGTCGTCGTCGCTGCAGCCGAAGCGATGGCTGATCAACTAGGGCTTAGGGCTTAAAGGCAGGCATAGTACGTGCAATACGCCCCGAAATCCAAATCGAAGTCGAGGTTTTTGCACTGGGCGATTGGGGGTGGCAAGCCGAAGGAGGACATCCGAAAATAAGTGAGTCTCAAGCCGATCCGCAAACCCCTCATCTCAAGTCCGACCCCCGCAACCAAAACCTTAGCCATTGTCTTTGAGCAAAGGACCAAGGCTTCAGGTCTTCACCCAGGAGGAAATCAAAGCCATAGACTTCGAAGCAAGAGGACCTTCTTCAGGCGGGTGGGGCTGAGTGCTCAGTGCAGTCTCTAAGGTTTGCTAATGGTGACTGGACACATACATGGAGAGATTCCATGGCGGATAGCGAGTCCTTGCCCCTGTGAGCATTGCTTCGTTTTGCAGGTCTTAGGACCTTTGCACATCAAACATTGTGTTGTGACCAGCTACAGACGTCTTATCCAAACTCGCAGATCTGCACCCAGCTCTGCTCTAGCTTTGCCTCTGCTTTCTTTCAAGCCGACATGTACCGAAATGCTGTCAGCATGCCGCAATCCTAAACATGTGCACTAAGTTAACCTGTGTTGAATATTTGTAGTGTGTGTCGTGGGGCAGGCTCCATGGGGAGGAATGAACAAACGAAGGTTTCAATGAATCAACAAGAGGACGTGCAAGCATCAGCCAAGGTGGAAGGCATTTGCTCTCGACTTCCTTCGGCCAGGCTTTGTGTTTCGATTTCACAACCTCCGCACTCTTCAGTGAGCAAGAACAGCCAAAGCTTCCGGTTTGTCATTGGCCACAGGAGGAGCAAAATCCTGCTCCCTCATGCCCTGCCTTTGAACCACGCGATCTTGTACGGACCGAAGGCTGTGCAGGATGCACTCCTCAGGGAAGCAGCGTCGAAAAAGGTGACATCTAAACCACCACCTCCGGAACTTCAACCTCGGACCTTAGGCCGCAGTGGAAAACCGAAGAAGCCAGCTTGTTCGCTGCAGTGTCCAGCGGCCGAAACTCTCAACGGGAATTGTCGGAAGATGCAGCCGGCCTTCAACTGCGGCACGAGATCGTTTTCCCAGTAGTGTCCTCCAGCAGGAAACGGTGCATTCGTGGAGGCCAGCCCATGAATTCATGGAAAGCTAGATAAGATCAATCGACACTGCCCTGTGTCCGGCAACTGGGGAAACTGATGTCAAGAGTCTGCTGCCGGTCATCATCTCCAGCACATCGTTGAGCCTGTGCTAATCCAGTACGCTCAGATATCGTCCGAGTATTTCTTGGACTAAAAACTCGAGGCGGTTGGCTTCCTGTGATGTTTCATACTATCCTGTAACGGCAGGAAAGCATGGAGTCGTAACAATCGCCGCCAGCTGCGATCATCCTTGTAGGCAGAGTGGCTCACTGAGGCTGGCCACTGCACCAGTAGCGACATGCTTGCCGTGCTTGTTCACAGACCTCGGGTGAAAGTATGGATCGACTAGTTCCAGCTTCTTTGCATATGAATCAAATTCAGCATTTAGCATTAGTTGTTTTCGACCCGGCACGGGAAGAGGATGTCAGTGCCGTTCATGTAGACGTGCTTGTATCGAAGGGAAACTACGGTTCCGCGTGATTCCACAGTAAGGTTTGGAGGAGGAGCCTTTGAACAGATGCTTGCGGAGGCCTACGGGAGAGAGACGCCCCATCATTTCGGAACTCAAACAACCTCTGCTGCTTGACCCTCCGTGACCGGCTGAAATTGATGCCACCTGCTGCCGCCTGCAAACTGCTAGCTAGCCGAAAATTGAGTTGCACATAGCAGCTCTCAGTCCTTTTCAGTGTGTGCTTGCTTGGCAGTGCGTCGTACACGGCATGTCCAACGAACTCGAATGAAGGCTCATTGTGGAGGCACAAGTTGCGATGCCGGGATTTGTTGCATGTTGGGCCGAATCACTGTGATTCCATCTGCCGCCTCAACATGTGCAGGCACGGCCCCTGTTGCCCCTTACACCTCGATCTGTTGCTTGTGACGATCGGAGGCTTGGTTACAAGTAACCCAATGCCTGCCTACTGCAAGCGCTCGCTGTTGTTGCGTGCTAGACACCAATTGGAGATGTGCCGTTGCCGGTTCGCAAGGTCACCAAGGTCGTAGGGCTCGTTGCAGAGGCGGAGGTAGCAAGAGGAGAACATGTAGACCTCTCGCAAGGTTGGTCAGCTTGCAAAGCCGACATACAATGTGAGGGTGGTGCTTGCCGATCTCCCCTCTACAAATGATTACTCCCTCATGTTGGACCGGAGTCTGCCGAAGGGGGGTGAGGACTGGTGCAACGACCCCTCAAAATACCCGGGCAACGTACTGTAGAGCCCCTGGAAGCAAAATGAAATCAGAGGAAAGGATCTGTGAAGCTGAACCTTCAACGCCCGAGAAAGCAGAGCAAGAAACGGTCATTTCTACTCTAGACAATAATCTCCTCCAGCAGCAATAGCAAAGCTGCACTTCGTGTTTGGCTTCCGTAATCGTGCATGATAATGGAGCTCCGAGTTGGTTCGGCCTCAAGCGGCTGAAACGAACGGACCAGAACCCACTGCCGCAGATCGAACTTGCGGCCGCTAAAAAGGAGCAAAGGCTTCTCGACATACCTGCTCAGGGAGGTTGCATGCGCTCGAGCAAGACACCTCGGGCCCCAAAGTTTTTCAATATTCTTCAAGCAGCGAAGGGCACTTTTGCACAACTCGATTCGTCGTGTTCTTGCAGTGGTGGAGCAGCTCGGGAAGAGTGTTCAGACCTCAATAACCAGCAGTCAAACTGTGACTGTCCAGTACATCAAGTGCACTTGCGTTGTAGCTTTTCTAGAGCGGCCTACCGAAGCCCAGGGAAAAGTCTTTGGCCAGGGGACACACCACACCGCTTCCCTTCGAGCTGGTGCCGGGCTTGACAACCTTGGGGTTCCGGGGAGCTATCAGCCGTTGTCTTGGGCTTGAGATCTGTGACAGCCGATGCTACGCTACGCGCGGTACTGTAGACTGTACGTAGACCTGTAGCTCCGACGCCAGAAGCCAAAATAAGGAAGCCGTACACAACCAAGAAACAGCTTGTCTAAGCTCAAGATACCGACGCATGGCACATGCGTGGCGGGGCTTCGTCCGGGTCTTCGGCTTGCACTACGAAAAACTGTTTCCACCACTTGGCCTAAGCCCAAGCAGATCTACAAAAACGGTCGAGCCCGGCATCCTTCAATTGAAGGCATCTCACCCGAAGCACGCAAACACACCAAACAAGCGCGAGAGCCCCTAGGCTGTCTGTAGCGAGCCGAAGGAGCCCACACATTCATGCAGCCTTGGGTGGACACCTGTGGCCATCTCGCCTGTTCAGCTGCCGGGCTTTAGGATCTTCTCGGAGAGCGGGGCTTTACGCTTCAAGGTCGCCGTTCATGTTTTGGGTTTCGGCCTGCTGAAAGCCAACGCATGGATGCCAGCACGAAAATTCGCGGGCCCAGCAACACCCTGGCGGCCCCTGGTAAATTGCAGAACGGACCTGACAATGAAACGGGTGCGCGAGGGCGCGAGGTACGGAGTCAAGCCCTTTGCGTTGCGACACACAGTCCTTTTTCGAATATGGCCTCCATGGATGCTAGCAACAAAACATGAAGCCCATCCGCGGGAGCAAATTTCTGTCTCCAACGAGAACAAAGAACAACAACTGGCCTCCAGAAGCGCCACGGCTTTCTTAGCGGATGCATCCAGTTCCGCAGGAGCAAAGGGGCACCAGACATGGCTCCGGAGCCTGCAGATGAAAAGTACGCGGAAGCATGGACACAACTCCCCAAACTCCATGAACCTTCAACGTACAGCGAAACCTACGACACCACACGCATGGATGGGATGGCAAGAACACCAGATCCGCAAGAGAACCCCAAACCCACTACATCCTTCTCCAATCCGACCGGCTTGTTGTACAACCTGCTGCCCCTTGCCGCGTTCTACGAGAAGAGGTTACCAGACGACCGGAAACGGCAAGGTTGGCAGAAAACACCGCAACGGCCCTTCGAAATCTCACTGCTCACTCGGCACCCAAGCCATAGAACAGCTCAGAACAGGTGTGGTTTTGTCCCACCCGCCCAGCTGACCAAGTCGAGAGCTTAGGATTGGGGTTTGGAGGTGTTGGTCACTCAGGGTCAGACGCAATTCACACTTGCCCAGCATCTGTTGCGGCGGGGGCTCCACCGCTTTCCGTTTGCAAAAACCCTCCCAGCCCTAGGCAGCGTAGCAGACACCTAGACGGGAGAGAGAATTGCGGAAACAGAACACAAGCTTCATTCACAGAAGGACAGAGCAAGAGGAATGCCAAAACGGTAAACCCGCTAATCAGCTCAATTGCAGTGGATCAGGCCGTGATGTGCGCTGATGTGTGCTGGATCGGGGGCAGCATGGATGCGGGTAGGATATGCAATTGGCGCAGATCTTTGCGGGAATCTGTTACACAATACGGTTTCATGCGCCCGAAGAAGTACTTGCAGCTACCATGCCAAAACCTGTGAAGCTGAATGCAGGCAATCCCGAGCGCAATCCCCGGACTCTAGACCCCAAGGCAAGAGAGCCCCGGCTTTGAGCCCTTCCTTCAACTGCATAATGATATCAGCCACACAAAAGATTTCAAGCTTCAGCGTCAGGCAGTTTGCAGAGCAGAACTGATGGATCAAGATTCGAGTATTGGGGTTTAGCAGCCTCGGTAGAGACGGCTGCGTGCGGGTGCAGGTCTTGAGATTTGGAGTCGGATCTGGGCGAGGCTCCTAACACAAATCTTCTCGAAATGCGGCTTCGCGACTCCGGCCACTTTTGTGGCTCCTGGCTGCTAGCGGCGGAGGAAAACGGGTGTCATGAACTACGCGACAGCCCGCAGTGCGGTCAGATTGCTCATCCTTGCAAGACGGAACTATCGAAGCAGATATGCTTCTGAGGATTGCTTCAGCCACCCTCCGTTGCATTGCATGAAGGCTTCAAGGTCTAGGGGCGTTGGGATGAGAGACTTACGCACTTTGCCGTGCATAGCTCATGGTCTGGATGGAGTGGGCGGCAGGACAGTGGATCTTGCATGATCGAGTTTTGGGGCTCCGTGTCCTTCGGCCGTGCATAGCGCTCACCAGGCTTTCGGTGCGCCAGGGCACCCGAAGCAGAGTAGCCACCTGAGGCTTCTACTTCGCTGGAGCCGATGTTTAAAACTTACTTCACATCCTGACATATTAACCATTGCTAGATGGGTTGACAATGTGGAATAAGGAAGTTATAATGCTTTCCCGATCAAGGTGCAACTGAGATAGGGGCCATAAGAAGTCGAAGGGTATCTCACCAGACAAGCAAAGATTCAGGGTGCTCCCTGACTGCCTACCCCTCAAGCACAAACCTACGCACATTCCTGCTGGAGTTTTGTGCCTTTGATATACCCGGTAAAAAAAAACCCCATAGAAGCGAGGGCTTGCCAAACAACCGACAGAAAGGATCATCCCGGAAAGTCCAGTCAATGTCCTGTAGCTTCTGGCTTCCACCCAGCTGGTTTGACATGCTTTGTTTTGAAACCTGAGAAAGGCTGTGATGTGCAAAGCTTCATTACACCTGGACAACATGCCAAGCCAGATATGCGGCAAGAGGCAAAGATGCAAATTCTTCTGTTACATGACACCTGCCTGAGCGAGGGATCTCGAAACCGCCAATCCCACTTAAACTGGCCCTTGAAGCATGCATCTCCCCCGAGTGAGGCAGGAAAGTAAGCCCCGAAGCGCATCAAGATTCCAGGCACTAAGCCACTAAGCTGAAAGTGTAGCCCTGTGAGTTCCTTTGCTTAGCCAGCCGGCGGCTTCGCTCCTTTCGCTCCTCGGCCTCATCCAGCTGGCAGAGCTGGGCCTGACAGCGGCACCGCAGGCTGGCCGCAGGCTTGGCTCTGTTCTTCGCTTAGCAAACCTTTACTTGCAACATCTTCAACTTGTCTTTTTTCGGCGGGGTTTGTTGTTCTACGTGGTACTATGTCGTGTGTATGTGCGGTTGGCACTGTGGACCCTAGCAAGGGCACGCAGCTCAGTTTCGGGCTTTAGGAACTTAGTACCTCGGGATACTTGGGGGGTCGATGGCATGCCTCCGAGTACCAGGTTGGTTCAGCGCAGGCACTGGGTATAGTATCGATAATATTGGGGTTTCAGGCTTCGAAATCAAAACAAAAAAGCGAGCAGATGGACACTACCAGGTAGGCACTGGCACAGGATGTCTTCGAACAAGAGGAAAGGAACAACACAAGATTTCACCCGCCCTACAACCAGACTGAAACTATGTCTGCTGTATTTGGGACTGTGGAAGAGCTTAACCGTACGGTCCTCCTGCCCCTGACAACAAAAAGTCGAAGGAAGCCTTCAGAACACAATCCCTTCCCAGAAGGAGAACCGTGAAGCATTGTGACGTTGACCCACCGTTTCTCGACTTTCTATGGCAGCTTCTGAAGCAACAGCTCCCGCCACTCCTTATTCCTTGCCGCCAGCAGAAGAGTGTATCGCTTTACTGTGTGCTGATCGGGCCTGCTTTTCTGTCTGCGACTGCCGATGGGTGTAACCCAGTACAGTCCTGTAAGCTGACATCTGTCCTTTGGTTCGAGCGCACGCGGCTGTGATATGTTGCTGTCTGCGGCTGGCCTTCTCGTACTGAGGTCTGTATCCAGACTCCGAAGTCCGAGAATGCGATACACAAGTGAACATCCTGAACACCGAACTTGGGACGGTCATGGCAATCTCACCAGCAGCAGCGCTTGGAGCCTCGGAAAGCTCCGAGTACAAGACGACGGCATCCCATTCCTGTCAGTTTGAAGGCCACAGCTTTCGCGAGTATTCAATCTTCCTGGGGCATGAAGCAGGATGGAAGTTGCTTTTGGATTCGGTTTTGGGGGTTGTTGGCATCTTCGCAGAACTTTGCTTGACGAATCACGGGCTGGCAGCTACAAACAGATTTCTTGGGCCCAAAGCCTAGCTGGCCTAGCTGGGCAAACCTGTTCGCTGCATGGCGGCCGAAGATCTACGTGTGACGACCTTGTAAGCCTTTTTTGGCTGGGGTCTTCTTTCACACCACACCTCTGGCAATGGTCCTGCGCGCAGTGCACACCCGTAGGCCCGTAGGTCAACACAGGTCCGGACTTCGGACACTCGCCCGGCAAAAACCGACTCTAACATCCCCTGCATTTACATGGATGTCGCCTCGGAGTACAGCTGCCTCCGGCCCAAGTCGTACTGGTCGTCCTCTTGACGAAACAGTGGTCTGCGGTCTTATCAAGTAAGCTGTCACATGATAGGCCCTCGTCTTGGGATAGATCGTTTGTTTGAGACTTCATCGAAAGTCGGGGGACTTGCAAGGTGTGCCAGTCGGTACTGATTGTTGAGGTACGAACCATACTTTAACAGTGCTTTTTCAGGAAGCAAGTATGTGGCAAGATGCAAGCATCTAGCCCCAAACGCTGCAGACCAGTTGTTACAACAATCACCTGGATCAGCTGTGCAGCAAAGGTGGTCAAAACACATGTCGCACTGCTCCCACGGCATGAATAGGCCAGCACATCGCCAGACTAGCATGGATCCTCGCACTCAGCAGCGAAGCCCGAAAGCTCTCAACCCGGAGAGTCCGGAACGAGGAATGCAAACATCAGATCTGACACCCAAGTCAAGTGGGAATAGCACGATGCACCGATGCACTGGTCTTCCGTCTAGTGCATGAGATCAGCCAGGCTCGGCCAGACAATGCAAGCTCGTTAATTACACGGAACGCTCCCCGCTCTCGCCTCGAAATACGAGCCATCCAAATCATCCAGCCAGTGTTCCAGCGCTCTCACTGCATGCCTGGCACCGGTGTCACAAGCAGACTACCCAGCCCGGCACATCACGGTATCTCCAGAGACTGAAAGAATGGGTTTCGTTATGCAGTATCGCCTTACGAAAGCACCAAAAGCAATGGATGAAACCTCTTCGTTGGCTTGCAGGTGCCCGGAAACTTGTGGTTCTGTATGAGGGCCTTATGGCACTTTTTGCCACTCGATGACTCGATTACTGAAACATGCCACAGGTAGCTGCCAGTCAACACTGAAAACTCGTGCGACAACCTGTGCTGTTGCTGGGCTGCCCCGGAACGCTCGAAGAATACAGCGTGTGGTCGCCTACAAAGATCAGCTGAAGGGAGGCCCCTGGCGCTCCAGACGTCGGGTTATGGAGTTAACCCGCTCGGATAGAAAGGCACTGCTATCGTCGCAGACAACGCGCCAGTGCCATGTCAAGGAAGCCGTACAGCTATGGATGATTTCAGGAATCAGAACACCTTGTTTCCATGACACCTGGACATACAGCTCCGTGACTTGACTACACTTAGTTCCGACATAGTAGCCGCTGCCGCGACCTTCGTTTCTAAACTTGCAACATTTTACTTTGGACATATTTTTTTAGCACTCACACTCGACAAAGCAGGCGAGGCTTCAGTACACTCATCGGTCACCATCCGGAGCTCATTGGCCCCAGCAACAACATCCCTCCAAAGCACATTGGCCTCGAAACCAGCCCCGCACACAAGCGCAGGGACGGGACAATCCTAACCCGCGCATCCCCAACCCAAAGAGAAATCCGTCACACGACTGCAATCACGCACCCACGCTGAGCAGGTACTCTCGCTTCCACCCAATCCCAGCAGTCTCCAGCAACCAGCCATCCACTCACTGGCGCAGGGCTCCCCTGCTCTCACAATGGTCTCCCAGGCAGCAAAAACAGCAAGACAGCGACAAAGCTGTGTCTCGAGCAGCACTGCGCTCCGTCCCATCTGCAGCCAACGGTGTATCTGCAGACAGCAAGAGCCCTTCTCGCCTCACGTGTCTCCAGCTCACAATGGTCTCCCAGGCAGCTCAAGCAGCAAGGCAGCGACAAAGCTGTGCCTCGAGCAGCACTGCGCTCCGTCCCTATTGCAGCCAGCGGCGTAGTTGCAGACAGCAAGAGCCCTTCTCACCTCACGTGCCTCCAGCTCGGCATCCACACTCGCAAACAAGTTGCGAGACGCAGCATCACCAGCTGCATCCACCATGCTCGTCCAGCCGGCAGCACTTCGGAGAAAGGCAGGCTGCAGCATTCGCCGCACGTTCGCCCTCATCATTCATCGTCGTACTACTGTCTTCTGGATGTCCTGTCGGTCCTCCCAACAGCAGCCCACACATCTTGGCAGCAGTCCGCTTGGTGCAGCACTGGGCATGCCTGGGTCACAGCACCACAGCCAGTTGCAGAGTACGCCGGCAAGGCAGCGTCACAACCGCCAGAGCGCAGTAAGAGGGGCAGCGTTTTGTAGATTCCGTCAGACAGTCACTACTTTCATGTAACCACAGTGCAGCGTCTCTTCCCAGTCTGCGCTGATGCTGCTGCCACTGATGCAGGGTAAGCCATGGCTGCACAGAAGATCTACGTGTGTGCCTCTGGGTGCCCGTTCTATGACAGGGATACACCCGTCAGCACCAACACGGGGCCTGCAAGGGGTTCGTTCGGCCAAGCATCCTCACCACCATCTCACAGGGATAACCCGCAAGCTAAGGCTTCACTTGGGATCTGGGTTGCCGGTTCTGCGGCAGAAATGCAGGGATATACCTGCAGCCAGTGCGTCTCAACACCCACTCAGTACATCGGCACCCATCGACAAATAAACAAGGCTGACCGTATAAGACTGGTGAGGGCCACGGCGAAACTAAGGCCGGGGCAGTTACAGTAAGCCGCGGCAGGGCCGAGGCAACAAAAAGCAGTGCAGAAGAGGGCAAGGACTCTCCGAAAACATCAGGCAAAAGGCAAGTTCAAAAACAGTACAGGGCAAGGTAAGTGCAGCGCAGGTGGCAAGGCAAGCAAAACAGACAACAAGACAGGGAAAGGCAGTGAAAAGGACAGTGCAAAGACAAGGCAAGGCAGTGCAACGTCATCCCAGCACATAACAAGGGGCACATGGACCGGTTCGTTTCCTGGCATACACTCTGGGCTAAGGTCCGAGCCACCTGAGCTTTCAAACGCGGCTCCTACACGACCCCTAAGTGAAGTAGATGCGCATGCCGGCACACTTGAAGGAAACACTTGCACAGCAGAATCCTACAAGCTTTGATTTCCAGATACAGCACGTCAGAGTCAAGGCAAGGCAGTCAGTGCAAAAACAGTCCGGGTATCGTACAGATTGCTATGGTACATGCAAGGGCAAGGCAAGGCAGCAAAAACAGTACATGGCAGGCGCTAGCCCGCAGACTGAGGCCTATCCGCCTCGGGCGCGCATGCTGCATCCTATGTTCTAGGATTCAGGGCAGCCGCTACAGACTCAGGGACAAGGAAGGACTCCCCGTTGACTAGCAGATTTACGAGCTTCAGCCCGCTCTGCTGTTGATTTGCGCCAGCACCTGAAGCCATTTGCCCCGCATTGGCTGGCCCTACGACATTTCCTGTCGTCGACGAGGAGGTCGAGGGGCTCCACATCACCGTCTGCGGGATCTGCATTTGTTGCATGGGCACCCCCAGCTGTTGCATTTGCTGGGGCATAGCCTGAATTCCAGCCGCCTTTGCCAGAGGCTGTGTCTGGGCCCATTGACCCGGCGGGGCAGAGGGCGGTGGGTCGGCCGCCTGCATGACGTCCGGTGCCGGGAAGGGAGGCGGAGGCGCCTTTGGACGAAGCTGCGTCGTGCCCTGCAGGTGCTTGGCCATAATGTCACATCGCTTGGAGATGCTATCGACCGAGGCATCCAGCGTGGCCACAGCTTCGGACAGGCTGTCCATGGAGGCCACAATCCTACTCATGGCAATCTCCATCTTCTCCATGGCCTCCTGTGTTTCCTTGAGCTGGCACAGGCACTTCAGCGTGCCTGGGCTATCAGCCGAGTTGGCCGTGTCCAGCCGCCTCGACACACCCATGATCCTGTTGACCACGTCCTTGAAGAGGCCGGCAAGGGAGTTGGTCAGCTCGACGTGCTTGTCCTCCACCAGCTGGTGCACTGCTTGCACCTGCTTGCTTGAGTCCCAGGCGCTATTCTCCTGGTGCGGGATGAGCTGCAGGTAGTGCTCGTCCAACGTCACCAAGAGGGTTCTGACCGTCTTCGCAGCCGGTCCATCGCAGAGCTGTTCCGACAAGGCGTTGAGTGTCGGCAACAGCTTGTCTCTCAGAGGGCCAAAGAAGATCTCCAGCCCGGTCTTGAGCTCTCCATGGAACGCCTTCGTGGAGATCACCTGTGGAGCCGCGTCGGAGTGCGGCTGCACATCATCTTTCCGTCCTGTGGACGTTTTGTCATCCGCAAGGGAGGATGGGGCCTCCGCCGGTGCGGAGACCGTCTTGTCCGAGTTCGCCGGCTCCTTGGCAACCTCAGCAGGCTTCTCCTCCTTTGACACCGCATCTGACTCGACAGTTTTCTTGCTGTCCCTGTTCTGGGCAGCAGCTGGCTGCTGGTCATCTTTTGGATCATATGGAGGTGCTGCAGGAGGCGGTAGGGGAGGCTCGTCTCGAGACTCCGGCGGTGATGAATTCGGGGATTGCATGGTGGGTCTCTGGGACCTGCGCTTCTTACTCCCACAGCCATGCCACAGGAGCAGGAGGGCAAGCAGGAACCAAGGCAAAATCCCGGGCAGATAAGGAGTCATCTCAATGACGACCTTGTCCGTCCATTGTGCATGAGTTGACAACATCTCCGTCTCCTCTTCCGTAGCTAACTCCGAGGCCAAGGTCTTGTCCGCAATGCCCTTGGGTCTCTTTAGCGGAGCCCCAACGTTCATGGCAAAGGCAGGGGAGCAGCGGTTGGAGCTTGAGGGGCGAGACGCTCTGGCGCAACATACAGTTTCCATGCGTTTGCGAAGCACACAGCTGCTGAGCACATCTACCCTTCGAAGCAGAAGTCTGTTTCACTACTCACAGTGCGGTGCAAGGACAGTACAGCAAGGTGCCAATTGTGGCAGTGCGGTCACAGGACATCATTGCCAAGGTGGCGGCGGGGGTCGAGGTGCCCTTGTACTTTGAATTCCTAGGGCACTGGCTATCTCATCGATCACCTGACGGACATCTCCGAGTTCCTCAGAGACATACGACACCTTCGCATTGAGAGATTGCACCAATTGCTCGGGGCTCGGCGCATTCCCTGTCTGTGGTTGCTTCCACGTTTGCACAGTTTTGTTGAATGCATGGATCCTACTCTCAAGGGCATGGAATGTACCAATAACGGCTTGGGTATGTTCCTCGTAAAGATTGTGTTCTCTATCCGTCAAAGAATCAAAAGACTCCCTAATGACTGCAAGATGATTTGCCATCTCCCTGAGAGTTTCTGGAAATTGCACTTGCAACGACTGAGTGTTTCGCTTCAGCAACGCTAAAATCAGAAGCAGCTCGTGATGCTGTTCCATAATGAGTCTCAGACGGTCGTTGAGGATCTTCCGGTTAGCTCGCCACTCCTTCTTTGTAGCAGCCAAAAGATCCTGAGTGGCTGTCTGCAGGAAGCTGGAGGGTTCCAGCAGCACCCCGTTGTCAACGGGTGCCTGCGGTCTCTCCAGCAGGCTTCGAACCTCCTGAAACTGTCGGAGAGTCTCCGTAACTTCCAAAAGGCCTTGGTCCAACCTGCGCAGCCAGGCAACAACTCTGCCTGCCACAGTTGCCAAGGCAACTAAGCAGAAAAGTGTCCAGGGCATCACGGTCGTTTCTGGGAGCCATGCTAGCCCTTCCTCAAGAAGCAGCGTCAGCCACATCATGTCGGGCCCTAGCCAGGCAACCTAACTGAAGCTGAGGGCATACTGCGGCAGGGGCCACAATTGACTCGCTGGTTTGGACACTGGCGTTTACTCATGCAGACCCTCGATCCGTGCAGGTC